AAAAGCACAACGAAAACAGAGACAAACGTTCACACATGTAAAGAAAATTCGACATCTCTTATCCATCAATCTAATACTAGAGCAAATATTTTAAGAGGAACGCAATTTTAAACAATCCTTTAGTATTTAAATCCAATTTACTGAATAAATTGTTATCATTGTACTTCAGGTGGTCTTTAAAATATCTCTGGAATATCTTTTGAGATCATTTTTTTTCACTACGTGTGGGGCGCAATATGTCCCATGAGGACTGTGCTCAAAATATGTTTCATTTTAACGATGTTGCATTTGTTTATTTGAAGTACTGTAATTTGATTTCCTTGTCATTAAAAGCTATAAAATATTTAGTTGTGAATTCCTTGCAGAATTCCTTACATCCGTTTCTCTACGCTTGTAAGAGGTTTGTTACTGTATGACAGGCTTACAGGCTTTATGACAGACTGTTTCAGACTCGCGGCCCGTGGGCCACATGTGGCCCACAATGAACATTTTTGTGGCCCTTCCAGTTTATCGGCATACAATAATCTATAATAAAATGTAAAATTTTTCCTGAAATAGGAAAAATAGTAGCAGTGAAGACATGTCAAGTGTTGGGACGTAAACATTAAATTTTTCTTGTTCTTTTATTTGTGTTTATTATAATGTATTATTCGAAAACACTTGCGTTTCAATCAATATTAATTTTTTGCGGTCCACCTAAAGTTAAACCTTGTTTGGTTGGCCCAAGTTAGCCTTTTAGTTTGACACCCTTGCTTTATGAAGAGAGGAAGATGAGTTTTTCGTTACAGTGGAGAAAAAGGGATTTATTGATAAAATCCGCACATCTGGTTGTGCACGAAATGAAAAATGGATGCTAAGTATGTGAAGTTAGATTGAAAAATCTTTTCCATAAAAAGTTTTTAATGCTGAATCAGCATCGCGAACTGCTTTCTGGGTGTTCTGTTGATTGATACAATCATCCCATCAGAGAGGGTACTAAAAAAGTACCAAAAAAGAAAATCACATCGAGGTTATCGGAGGACAAGTAAATTAAGAGTTCAATGAACCACTAGAGGAATTCCTGAGATTTCCATGTAACTTTTAGCAAGCCTTTTACTTTCGTATAAATGTATGTAAAATATAATTAGTTATTGCATTAGAATAAACTTGTTACTTCCATTCTAGCCCTTTGCAATTATCCATCTTTGATGAATTTCGAACCGATTGTTGGCGGTTTTCAACAAATTTTAGCAAGCGTCATAAGTCGCATAAATGCAATCACCTTTCTCAGATAATTTGTTCATGCGTCCCTCTGTTGCCAACTTTTGCTTTTCACAGAAAACTTTATTTTAAAATTATATATTTGTCAACAACAACGCATGTGGATAAGCAAAATGAATTTGATTTTTTAAAAAGTAATAATCTTTTCAATTTTTTTATTTTTTATTTTGAAAAACTTTTTGAAGAATCAAAATACTTGGATATTCTTACTCAATTATCAAATTTGAAACTGTATCTAATGTCTGACCTCCATGAATTTACTACATTGTGCTTGCGATAATATCTTGGCGATTACTCTTTGGCATGTATTTAGTAGTTGGCGAAAAATCACTGGCATTATCAAAGTACTGTAAATGGTACCAACATATTATTTTTGTTACAAAATATAGGTTTATTGCGATTGCATGTATAATCTATAGAGATTGTTTTATTTTTTGTAAATAAATTGTCTGAATGCTAATTTTACATTAATTACTGAATTTTGGGTCATGGAAATTTTTATGTAACTTTTCTTATTTAATGAAATTAACTGTAGATGATTGCTTTCTTTTTTTACGTGTCTTGTTGGGTAAAATTTATTAAATGCAAATAAATTCAAACGTGAAAAAATTTAGACGTCATAAATAGAGACTATTTAGTATTGCCATTATAAATTTGTAATTATTGAAACCATTTTTTAAGTAGGTAAATAAAAATAATGGAAACAGCTTCCAATGAAATTTTCAAAAAATGAAATCAGACAAATTTAAAAAACGACAGTATTTTTTTTTTTATAATTCGCATCACATTCCTTTTCGGTTTTTGTAATTGCTCTCTGTTTCTTTTCATTCTTACTATATTTCTCTTTAAGGTATCCGACTACGTTTGGAACCGTAATTTTAAAAAAGGCACATAAATGGATAATTTTCATAATATTTAGTGTCACTTAAATTAGAATACATGTATAAAAATGCTTTAAGGACCTTTTGACAAAAAAAATTTATTTAAATACAATATTTCGGCAAAAAATTAACTTAGAATAACCTTTTTTCAAAATGTTCTCCTTTAGAGAAAAAGGCTTCTATTATAATGATTTTTTACCTGTGTGTGTAGCTCAAACCTCTGTACAGAGGCTCAGCTACGGTTTTTGAAAAATTCACATAATTTTCAGAGCTACAACCATTTGAAATAATTATCGGCGTTTTTTTCTTAAAATTTCTCCCCTCTGTTGTGTGTCGTAAAACATGGATAAACCCACTTCTAAGTTATATATTTCAAAAATTCTAGTTGAGCCTCTGTACAGAGGTCTGAGCTATAGACAGGCAAAATATTATTGTAACAGATGCATTTTTCACAAAAGGCGAATATTTTGAAAATGGGTCATTCTATGTTCATTTTTTTCAAAATATTGTACTTAAATAATTTTTTATCGTAATAATATTCTTAAAACAATTTTATATACATTTTCTAATCTAAGTGACACTAAATATCATAAATATTATCCATTTATACGGTTTTGCAAAATCACGGTTCCGAATGTATTTGGATACTTTAAGACGAAAGAAATGTGAGAAGGGATAAAAAAAAAAATGTTAGCACATCTCTTACGAATTGGAAAAAAGAACACAAGCCACTTATCCCTTAATAGGATTATCATTGGATTTCGTCGCCTGTGTGTATATACAGTCCTCTCATATGTCAACTGTTTGCCAGAATGATACGGAGACAGATTATATTTTGTATCATAAACACATACTTATGAGATGACGAATAGGAGAATTTAAAAGAATATCAGCATTTTTTTAAAAAAAATATATCAAATTATTTTTTAACATTTAGTAAAAATAAAATGAATTCATTTGTTGAATAAAAAAGATAAATTTTTCTTGCTTTATTATTCAATGACATTTTTTTTTTAATTTGTTGAATAATACAGCAAAGTTATAATGTAAAATTCTTTACTTTAAAAATGAAATTCTATATTTAGAAGTTTAATTTGTCTGAATTTTAAGCTTTTAACATAAAAAAAGTTATTTTCGGTCAGAATTGCTTAAAATGGTTTTTTGTATTGACAAATTGATAAAATTAACTTTTTAGAATGCAATTAATACTGTCACGTTGGTACTTTAAAAAAAATCTCTAACAAAGTTTTATTTATCCCAAAAACATTCTTTTAAGTTTATTAATAAATCTGGCAAATTCTCACTTTTGAAATATGATCCTGATTTTAAAGGTACAAAATACTTATTTGTGAATGTGATGGAAATATTCATTATTTCATTTATTTCTTCAAAACATTTTTGTGTTATAAAACCGTTTGATTTTATTATATTATTATTTCATAAAAATTACAAGATTGTAGGTTTTGTAATCCTATATATATTTAAATTTTTTTAAATATTTGCATGTCATTTGTAACTAATTCTTAGGATATTAGTCGTTTTGTACACAGGAACATGAGTGAATTTTTATCCCGCTAAAAATTCTATTGATTTTCAACTATATAGAAACAAATCATAGCCATATAATTTGACAATTGAAGAAAAATTCATAAAAATTGAACTATTTCTGAATTGTTTGTCAAAGAAATTTCGAATAATAATAATAATCCTTGCATTATATTCATAAACTTTTTAACCCCAATGATAGCATATTTTGAAAAATACCTTCAAATATACAAAATTCCTTTCCAGATATATCTTTGGAAAGGCAGTTAGATTATGCTTTGTTATAGTTAGGCCGTATCATTCTTTTAATATGCAGAAAATAGTTTCACAAAAGTCGTTTTCTTTTTTTAAATAATAGTATTGGACTTCCTTATTTTAAATTAATAAATTTAATCGACATTTAAATCTGAAAAAAAAAAAAGAAAAGAAAAACTCCACTTAAAAGAATATTAGTTTTAGCAATTCAATTTATGACTATAAAAAAAATCTGTGCCAAAATAATATGAGGACTGCGGTACCCCAGTGGTCAAGGTATTGGATCATGGCAGGTATGTCATGAGTTTGAGCCCAGTACCACTAAAGACCCGTCGTGTAGGGCAGCGATGCACGTTAAATCTGTCGAGAGCTGAAACGTCCTCCCGTCGGTGTGGTAGTTAGGAGAGAGGGTGCCAGCTCAGGTGTCGTCCTTGTCACTCGACCGTGATTCAATGTGACGAGGTCCGTCGCCAAAAGCCCTCACGTAGCTTAACAGTGCGACATTAATATTCACTCATTCCAGTAGCCCACACAGGAATTTTTTAAGGGAGGTCCAGGGTTGAAAGTCCACCTTTCTTGTATCATACTCCTTTAGATTTCGTCGATTTTCGGGAACAAAAAACAGTAAAAAACTAATTATTGAATACATAATTAGCATTCATTAACAAAATCATTTATCACAAATACTTAATTAAATTTTGCGTACTATATACTTAGCATTATAATCAATCGGAAAAAAAATCAAGGCCTTTTGGGGAGGGGGATCTGGACCCTTGTGTGCGCCACTGACTCACTCACTTTATTTCCTGGTCCTCAATATATTAAAACCTTAATAGCCTTTCTTTAACAATCTCCCAGTAAAAGTAATAGGAAAAAATTTACACGAATAAGAAAAAAAATTCTTCATTAAAAAAAATTATTATATTGGCGAGATCTTCCTTTTCAGAAAGTAATGAGTTATATACTCGAATTTTTTTGTATGTAACATATGACAAACAATCCGTTTTAATTTCCAATGTCTTTTGAAATAAACCCTTTCAGCAATAGGGGGAATTCATTCGCAGTCGGTAGGATTCGAACCTACGCGGAAAGATCCCAATGGAGTTCTAGTCCATCGCCTTAACCGCTCGGCTACGACTCTGCTCGTGAGGGTTACGAAGTTAAATATTTATAATAACTATATATGATAATTGCCATGCGTAAAATTTCCCGCTTCACTTGTATTTATTTATAAATATGCACTCAACTTTGAACTTCGAAATCCAGACAACGTGAAAATAATGACGCCTTTAGAAGAGAGTTGAAACATTATTATTATTATTATTATGAAAAGAAATTAGGGGATCAAAGATTAGTAATTAAGTAATAAACAATCAAAATCTTTCTAATATTTTCAATCGGTTTTCATTCTGTATCTCTCTCAAATGATTTCCCTAATAAACTTGTTTTAATATATTTTTTGCTTACCTACCTTTTGGAAGTTTACATTTCAATCTTGATTATTGAAAATTTGATTAGTGAATTTAATAATTCCTTTTTTTTTTTTAAAAATTAAAATAATTCAAAAACGTATAAATTTAGAAAATTTCCTGCAAATGTCATCCTCTTAAACTATGTCTTAAATATAAAATGTTTACCGGTGGCTTACTTTACATTTGAAGTTGAAATATGAAACTGATTGATTGAGAAAAAAAAATGCTCTTGGAAAATAATTTTTAGCTGTACCGTTTTGATTTCTGAACTAGTGGACCCAATAATGCTTGTATATTTTTTAAAATATACATATAAATTTAATAAATACAACTGAAATTTTATGTCGATCAATTTATTTCATTAAAATTACATAAATTTGATTGTAAGTTTCATTAAAAAAATTTTTTTTTTAAACATTTGTAAATCCCAGTGCATTAACAAAGTATTACACGGGTATAACAGATGTAAGTATGAAACACACATTACATAAAAAAAAATTTTTTTTAAGTCATGAAGGATTACAAAAGTTTACAATGAATTTACAGAAATTTTCAAAGGCGCTTCTGGTAAAAATAAATTGATGCAAATCTGGAGGCCAATTTATATTAATGCCCTTGAGAGCCAGGATCTTACTTTCTCTGACACAAAACACGGAACGCAGAAGGAGCACATGCTCTCCATTTTCCTCGCCACCACAATATTATAATCGTAGGAAGATGACGGAACCAAATTAAATTTTTTCGTTACCATGACCAGTGAGAAATTGGATTATTTTTTAAAATAGTATAAAGATGTCATGACATTCTTATTAATCGATGGAAAAAATTCTATGTTAAGCTCTCTTTATTTGAAATGAAATATTCTTGGTTCCCAGACTCAAGCATTCTTTCTCTGATAATCTCCTTATAAAAAGATTTAGGAATATTAACGGCAATGTCAATCGCACTTGGTGGCAGCCTTTGCAAGCGATTGGCTTGTAAAGGCCAAGCCTGTTTTGTTTGTATGTTATTTTTTTCAGCATTTTAAGTTAATCAATTGCACATCTGAATCTTACTTCACTGTACCATTTTTGTTTTAATAGAACAATATGTTTTAAATGTTCATTTGTCTTTCCAACCTATTTATTGCACATTACCTCAAATTTTGTAATTTAATAAATATTTAACAAAAATTTTATAATCAAAACGAATATTTGACGAATTATTATATTACCTATGTTTCTTTTAGAAAACTTTAATGATTTTATGAATTTCGTACCTCATCTTGATATTTTAAGGAAACAGTAAAACGTACAATTTAAATTCAATATTAATTTTGCATCAATTAAAGAAATTAATCTAAACTGTCTTTTTCAACAAAAAAGAGGTGCACAGAACAACATTATGTGGGATGTCAATAATTAGAAACAGAAATTACGATAGTAATCCCTTTCAGTTTAGAATTATTTACAAAGAAACCTTTATATAAAATAATTTCTTAAGGGTCTGCGTTCGAAAAAACAATCATTTTAAAAAAAACCGTATAAACGGATAGTTATTTTGATATTTAGTGTCAGTTGAATTAAAAAAATAGATGTGATAATATTCTTCAGACAATTTTATAATAAGAAAAATTATTTAAACATATATATATATTGTCAAAAAATGAAGAATGACATATTTTCAAAACATTCTCCTTTTATGCAAAATGCTTCTACAATAACATTTCGCCTATATAATAGCTAGGATTTCTGTACCGGGATTGAACTAAGGTTTTTGAAATACATACTTAGAAGTAGATTTATTCGCATTATAATAAATATATAAGAGTAGAGAAATTTTACAAAAAAAAAACACCTGTTATTATTTCAATGGATCGTAACTCTAACAATAATGGGAATTTTTTAAAATTAATAGTTTAGCCCCGGTATAAAAGTCCTAGCTACATATAGGCAAAATATTGTTATCGGTGCATTTTTCACAAAAGGAAAATGTTCTGAAAATGCCATTCTTTCTTCCTTTTTCGCACAACAAAAATAAATATTAAAATAATTTTTTCTTTTAAAGCTTGTGACGGGCTCACGCTCCTTTTCTTTAACATAACCTCTGTCTCCTTTGGTGGCCAAAATTAATGGCAACTCTTTTCCAACCAATACTCAAGAAGCGAAATGTGAACAAGAAACGCAAATAAGATAGCTTTTAAAATAACAGAAGTTTCAGTAAGTGGGATGGCAATTTGGGGAAAGTTATGTTTGAAGAGATACAAGCGTAAATTGACAGAAACTCAAAAAGTTACCTGGAAAGTAAACCAGTAATACAAGGTCATACCATTGCACGCGTGCCCAGAAGTTTCCACATAAAGATTGAACCTAAGTTTGGATTAAGGTAGGGGACTGATATTTGATATTAGGACTTGTAATATTATTAGAAGTGAGAGTAGGCGGAAAATAATTATAACTTAGAGAAAGTGGTCTAAATTACGCGATTCGGTTTAACTATAATTGTGTGTTTGTTAATTACAGATTCTCGCTTAGTTAAATTTATCTAAATTGTTAGACATTTAAGTTCTATTCTTAATATTAAAGTTATATTAAGAATTAAAAATGTGTATTCCTTTTGCAAATCCTACACCTCTAGCTCCTGCTGACAATCAAAGATACGGTCACCAAAGGGGGCGGTATCACAAGCTATTCTTAAGACAATTTTAAATGTATGTATATTCTAATACCCACTTGATTGGAACATCTGCTCATGCTGCGCCCAATGGTCACGTATACTGGGATCGGCACAGTAGGTCCTGGCCCTCCTAGGCTGTTCCGCTACTGAGTTAGAGTTTTATATTCAGATACAACTGACACTCTAAATGTCAGAAAATGATTCCATTTTTACGATTTACAAAATTGCGGTTCTGAACATTTACAGTCGAATGTACCGTATTTACTCGATTCTAAGCCGCAATTGATTTTAAGCAGCACACAAATTTTTGAACAAGTTTTTGTGAAAAACGAAAAATAGTAAATCGATATCCAATTTTACGAAATTAGAATAATTTTAAAAAGATAACTAATAAGAAGCGAATAATTAGTTATTTTATCAGCCATACACAGACACGAATTCGCAATTGCTCTAATTGCGTCATTCAATGAATGCCCTCCCCCCTTCGTTTCTAAGCCGCACCCGATTTTCAGTATCATTTACGTTTGGAAAAAGTGCGGCTTAGATTCGAGTAAATACAGTATTTTTTTTATATTAGAAAAGAATACTTAGAGTTATGATTAAAATAAAAACTGCAAGCAAAAAATAAATTGTTTTTTTTTTCCTTTTTTTCCCCCATATAATCTGAAAAAAATGTATTTAAGCATATTTTATCTTTTTTAAATAAAGTAATATTTTTAAGCAAAAAGAAAATCTATTTTTTATTGTATATCAAATAAAGTATCAACTGGCTGCACGAGTAGTCAATGGCGTGACGTTTATTTTTTAACGGACTAATTGTTTTTTGGAAATTGGTACCTAACATAAAAAAACAACAAAAAAAAGAGGTGTTGTATCAAAGAGATACCTTCTAAAAATCAAGTTTTACTCCGGGATATTTCTTTCCGCCATTCCCTATTCTTTTGGCTTCTCCCCCCCCCCCACACACACTCCTGCACGTCAGAGAACGTCCCACACGTTTCGGAAACACAGTCAGGGTTAAGAAAGAACTAAGGAGTGTCCGAGAATAGATTATGTTAATTACACACTGGGAAGGTCTAACTGGCACTATTGCGGTTTTTATTACGGTTCGTTTGTGTATGTGTGCGGTAATGTTATTATATAACCTCGGTCACAATTGAGGTACGTAGTGGTGCTTAGCAAGATGCAATTTCTTAGAATTTTTGCCTTGACACCATACCGAATCATTCAACTGAAAAAAAGCTCATATTATTCTATACGTATTAATGCGTTAGAGTAGGCGTTAGCTTGTTACGACTTTCAAATACTAAGTTTAAACACCGATTTTATCTTTGGCTTTTGAGGTTAGATTTGAATGCGAAAACTTAATCTATAGATTTAGCTTTATATTTATTTTGTTGTTGATTTAAGACTTTTTACGAAAAATGTGTTAAAATAAATGTTTATTACTTTGGGAGCATCGAAAGTATTTTCTTAAATGAATTATAAAATACAGTCGAACCTCTATACAACGAACTATATTGCGAATGTTTCTATATAGCGAACTTTTTCCTAGAACCTTGAACATTTCACGACTTTCTCCGTAAAATAACCTCTCTATAGCGAAGTGCATTGTCTATACAACGAACTTTTCTTTTGTGATTCAATTTTTGTTCTCCCTTTTTTTAAAGTATTTCTGAAAAAATTTCAAGTTATTCTCTCTTAAACACATTTTATGGTGGTCATAAATCTTGAACTGGTTTTATTAGATCCTAATTTGCCGAGAGCAATAGAGTTCTGGACGTTTCATCCAAGAAGTCAACCTTTAACCTCCATTGCCCAGTTCTCTAGAAACATCTTCGATATCCTCTTTCACCCTCATTGGAGTTGCCCCATGTGTCCCCGAGTTCCAATTATAAAATAATGTATGTTTAATATTACTTGTAGGCTTTAAATTATAAGTTGTCCTTATATATATAAGATTCATTAATTTTAGGATAAAATTATTTTCTTAATATTGAAAATACAGTGAATTCT